TAATTACCAAACTGGCAACAGAATGTTCGGTTGCGCATACTTCGCAATATTGTGTTTTCTGTTTAGTGATCAGATTAGTCATCAAAAAGCGAACAAAAAAAATCAAATATACTTGATTCCAACTAGGTGATTCTCAAAATTATGCCAATTGACTTGGTGTTAAATGCTATTACATATAAGATGACGGTATTCAAATCCATCTGGTTGATCGGCTTGATCGCTAATTAAAAGTGACATTCGAAATCGTTAAAACTGTAATATGGCCCTTAACTCTACAGCCTTAGGAAAGTGAGTCATACAATTAGCCTTGCTCAAAGTCTGCGATATTGGTGTTTTCTTCTGTTTTATCTCTTCCTGAGCGATGTTTATATTTAGGAATGTGTCTGTGCAGATGTACTTTAAACGTTGCAACATAACAGTCCATCTATTGAAATTTTTAGACCAATGCCTACTGCATGTATGAAGTCGAGAGTCGCTTTACCAATCCACACATATATTTATTCTGCATGAACAGAGAGAGAAAGTTCCAGTTAGATTCCTTTTAATTCCTTTTCCTAAGACACAAAAAACATTATTCAATAACTTCGATTTAGACGCAGTACTCTTTTCGCTTTTTACTTATCACGTGTTATGTTCGACTCTAATTACATAGATGGCCAAATAGCAATATCAGTTACTTGAAAAACTTATTTATTTGTTTCAAGTGGCAGGCGTTTTGATAGCTATCATTAGCCATTTAGCTGAATTCAGAGGAGAAAGGAGGAGAAACATCAAAGTCAAAAAAAAGACGAGAGGGGGACAGATTAATGATTCACAGATTTAAAGTAGACAGGCAGATACAAAGGTGGATGAAAGGTGAGGTTAGTACTGTGGAAGTGATCGAATATGCATACAGTAGGGTGTTGGTAGTTTGAAGTCAGAAGTCAACTGCCGGCTAATAGACTTCTTGCCGTATGAGCATACGTTGCCCAGGGTGCACCACGTGGAGGTTAGTCTATCGCACACCCCTTACTTGTTAAACTAAGTTTGTATAAATTGGATAAATTTTAAATGGCCCGATTTAGGAGCCATTTATATGGGGAATTGAAGGTGAGCATTATATCTCAATAGAAATAAACCAGATGTCGTTGCCAATTTAAATTTGGTTATAATGTAAAATGCACTTTGGCGGTATTAGAATCTTCAGCGGGTGTAAAAAGTGCCAACGTGTAAAATCATGTCAGTTTAGGTAGATATTTAATGTAAATCTAAATTTTTTAAATGAATTCATTATTTATAATTAGGGGTGTGCGATAGACTTATCTCCACGTGGTGCACCCTGGGCAACGTATGCTCATACGGCAAGAAGTCTATTAGCCGGCAGTTGATTTCTGACTTCAAAATACCATGGCCCAACTGCTTGTTATATTCGACCCCTTTCACAGTACTCATCTTACCTTTTTCCCTACCTTTATGTTTTTCTGCCTCTTTTGCATCTGTGAATCGCTCTTCTGTTCCTCACCCCTCGACTTTCTGCTACTTTGATGAAACTTCCCTCTATGAAGCCCGAAGTCAGCTAAATGGCTAATGATAGCTATCAAAACGCCTGCCATTTGAAATAAATAAGTAAATTATTTATAATTATACCCCTTAAGATCAGTATCTTTTGCGATATCCACGGATTTGCAATTTGCCATTGCCTCTGTTTGCCAGCATTCACCAAAGTCAAAACTTCAGCTGCTATTGGTCTTAGAAATGTGGTGATCACTGTAATGAAAATCATCCAAATTTCACTGCATTATTAGAAACGATATTATTTATGTCAACCTAATGAAGTGAAGTTCTTAAACCATAGCTAATTTCGAGTTATGGGGAAGTGAAGAACGGAAAATGCCCAAAGATGTGGATCGATTCACCTCACACGTCCACGAAATTATTTATCATAGCTAAGGCTTGCATGAAAAATATAATGTTGGCAACATATTGAGTGAATTCGTGTCGTTTCCATTTTATACGTGGCTAAGCACTATGGCAAACTAGGTATCTAACTGTATTGTATGAAAGCTCTCACTTTAAAGTATATAATCCCACAAGTCCAGCGATATCACTGTCCTAATGCTTTTGCAACCCAAGGGCTCTAAAGAGGATATATTGCCTCTCTTTCTCCACCCATCCCCACACCGACAGGCTACCAACCTTATAAGGATCTTCTCTTTCTTCCGTATTTATAGGATTTAACGTGATTGAAAATCTGACAAATGAACATCATTTACTAAGTATAATGAATGAAAAAAAACCAATGGAGTTAATAAACTTTATTTATTTAAGTAAAAGTTAAATTTAAGTGTCATAGCCTGATCGATTGGCAGTCCTGTACTCTGTCCTATCTAGTAATCTAATAGCATAATTTGTTCTTGCATCTTTTTTTTTCTTTAGGACAATTACTGCAACTCCTTCCTGTAGTGTAAGGTTTTTGTCCAATAAAATTGCCGCTTAAATGGAAAGGTTTATATTTTACTATTTCATAGAATGAACGTCCACTTTTCATTGGAATGTTTGATAAAACTTACGGAGCTTTGTACTGGCAGACATACAGAAACGTAGGCTGTATACGGCCTGTAAAATATTTGTCACACCTCTGGACTGCACACCCAACATTGCTCGAAGTAGCCCAAACCACCTATTTCGAAATAATGTTAATGCGTTTTTTATCACGAAATAGACTCAGGCGCCAAACCAACTTACTTGTGTGTAATGTCCGCACATTTTACCTGAGGTACAAGAGTTCGCATTATAGTTGTAATCCTTCACTTCTTTGTGCCATTGACTGATAACAAATGGAAAATTTTCTGTTTTGTGACCAAAGGTTATGGCAATATTTTGACCGGTGTTCTGGTACTTTGTTTCGGTCTTTGGAGGATGTGTGAATTGACATTTTTTTGCCCAAGATTCCGCCAAATTTTCCATCTCACGACTGTATTTCTGCAGATAAACGAGACGGTATTAGCAAGAAAGTGTACTTAAAATGTAAAATTAACTGGAAATACCATCTCCTCCATATTTGACGCTGGAGGAGAGACACCAGTGCGCGCTCTATTATGAGAATCTAGAATTTGTTTAATCTCGTGTGACTGTGGTTTTCGAGCATAGAGAGGGTAGAGAAAAACCAGCAGGATGATTGCTTTTAGCATGGTGAGACTCAAACTTCTGAGAAGGTGAGCGAAGTCTCTTATATGCTGCTCTTCAATCCAATGACATCTTTCTGCAAATTGATTCGCTCCGATCAGGCACATTGCCACCCCATGACTATTTGTAATTAGATAGGTTGGAACGTTTGAAGTACGCAACAGAAGATAAGCACTCCTGCCATGCGAAAGGTATATTAGAAACTGATGAATATAGAGGAAAAAAGTCACTTTGTTTGATGGTATTCATTTCTCTCAGAAGTTGTTAATGTCTCAGTGATATGTTGGAATTTCGATATCAGGGTTTTGAGTTGTAAAGCGAGGGGGTATTGGTTCTAGTGAGCATACCTTGAAAAGAAGGGGAAATTGGAATTGCTATGTGAAAAGGATCAATAATCCCGAAAGAAAATATAATCCTTAAAAATATATCTATATTTTCCTACAATCTTATCAATGATGGGATAATTGTCAAAATATAACTTTGAAATAGCATGAGCTAATGCCTTTAATTAAAACGACGTCTTCCAAAGCCTGTACCATCCCAATAAATCGCACAATTAATTATGGCCTGCATTTTGCCTACCTTTGCTATAAAGTGATAGAAGAAAATATAATCCGCCTTGTTCTCTATAGATTTTCCAAAGGTGATGCTTCTTCTGCCTGAAGGAGTGTAATTATTTTAGAGTATTCAATACTCTACCAATTCCACCTTGCAGTGAATAAGAGCTCAATTGATATGATCACATTGAGAGCACGTTAGTTGTTAAAAATTGAGAATATTTGAAAAAAATTGATTCCATGTGATAGGAAAATTAGATGGCGAAATATTCGACTTAAATCATATTTCTAAAGACAAACTCAATTTTCATCAATGCCTGTAACGAATGACTTGGGTTGACTTGAATTCGCACCGTCTACAAGGGTACTCGAAGTAGGAAGTGAGGTCAAGTGTTTTATCTTCGCAAATGACATCGTGCTAAATACAACAAGTTGTTCGTGGAAATATAATTTTTGATATAAATTGAAAGGCTTCCACTTTAGATGAATTGACATTTTCAAAGCACCAAGTTAATAATTACAAACACCAATGTATCCTGAGAGGCGATGAGGCTATGAGGGTAGAAATTTCTTCATCCATACCCACTATTTATGGAAAGAAAATCACTTAAAGTATAAGTACCACCAATATTAGACCATAATGTTGGCAGCTAGATGATTAGTTTGTCTGGTATTTAAATAAAATTTTGCTAGACTCCCTTGACATCTTCCAAAAAGACCCTCCTGTGTCGCTACTTTCGAATTAAACATACTCGCACAACTATTCATGAATTTGAGTTCAAACACTGTTTAATCAAATGAAATGCCACCAGATCTGTGGATTAATTTGGAGTGAGTCAATTGTGTTAAGTGGTGTTGCTTTGTAATCAGATTAGTCAAAAAACGTTTTGGATGAATGGTATTGAATCATTAAGCAGAGACTAGTATTGTTTTGAGATATATTATATGAGGATTAAACAATCGGTGGTTTGTTAAAATATATGAAATGCAAAAAGATTTGAGTTGACTTGAATTCGTGATGTTATAAGTGAAATACACACACAAATCGATATCGAATGTAAACATTTGCATATTTCTTGAGAATGTAAAGCACAATAGAATGCTGTTCAATGTAGTCCCATAGTAGAGATGAACAG